AAAAACAGTTCAGAAGATGGCAAGTAGGTGTTTTGAAATAAAAGCTGTATCCAGACATATTTTACTCCAACCTGTAACATCTTCCAGAAAAAAAAGAACATCAAAATTAGAAAAAAATATATATATTTCTGGATTTCAAATTGTCTACCTGTTTTTCCTACATGAACAGAAGCAACAGAACTCAAAACCATTAAGCTTCCATCCACCCAATATTGAAAGCTCAAGTCTACAGAATCTAGTCGACCACAGAAACAGCAACTTTGCAATAAGTGTCTGGAAAGCTCTGTAACTGCAGCACCCTCTGCTGCTTTTTCAGTTCCAAAACATGTAATCGTGTACTCCAAGTAGAAAATAAAATGAGTACGTATTGAGCATGTTTCTTGCAAATGGTTACACTGTCAACCAACATTGTGTAGTTTACAAGAAAATGTTTTATTATTACATATAGCATATTTGCAATTTATACTACATGAATATTAGAATACCTTGTTCCTATTTCTGTGTTAACATTCTGTAAAGCTGAATTTTAAGAAAGCAGTGAAATAAAATGTGTTTTGGAAATACTACCGGATGAAAACCCCAAAGCACATTTTATGTCACTGCTTAAAATTCTGCCTTACAGACATTGCATCTTGCTTAGACTTGTGGCAATTAGTAAAAAAAAAATAAAGATATTTTGGCCCTTGATCATTTAACTGAAATTAATGCACAATCTGAAGGGATAAGATTAAACAATATACATAATTTGAAGGGAAATGATTATACAAACTCTTCAGTCACAACAGCTTTCTCCTGTTAATAAAATAGTCAGTGGAAAGAGATCATTTACATAAGTTCGTTCATGCTGAATTTCCCCTGGTTTTTTGGAAGTCTTTTGCAGAAGAGATTTTCCCCTGAAAGGATGAAGTGGCACGTGGCTCCCAGAGCCAGCTGATGCTACCCCACAGTGCCACCACTCAGCCTTCTGCCTGGGATCCATCAGTTCTTTTAAAAGGATTGTCTTATGACTAGAGATGGTCACAGGATGTACCATCTTTCAACAGATGGCATGCTGTTGTTTAAAAGGAACGCACCAATCCTTCCCTCTATCTCAGCCTTTTTTCTCCCCTGCTTCCTGTTTATGCACAGGATTAAAGCTGAATGGAGTGCATTTAGCACTGCATCCTATCTGCGTGGAGAAGCTGTCTAGAGTTTTCACATGCAAACTACTCTCTCACAGCAGATGAACATGACAGATACAAAAAAAAAATTTACATTTTTTTTTCCTGGAAAAGTAATTTGCAGTGTTGATTTTCACCCATGACAATGATCCTACAATGAAAATGCATCTTTAGTAATGCTTCCTTAAAAAAAAGACTGATTACCAAATCCAAACAAGACTTTGTGCAGAGGCAATTTCTGGTGTTAACACTTGGAAGACCAGCAATATACCATTTACAGCTACTGCACTTGGCTCCATCTTTTCCCTGAAGTCTTACTGGTGTAGGGCAACACTTTTGGAAGCAGTCACAAGTATTCCTCAAAAGCTGCTTTTTGAAATTTTATATAATGCTGCCAGCTAGTGGCACATCTTGTGCTGAGTTCGCGTGTACTGGGAGTATGGAGAAAATGGTGTTAACTAGAATCTGCTCTACCCCTCTTCTCTTGACAGTGTACGGTGATGTGGCCAGGACAAAAAGATCAAAGTGAAACAAAAAGACCACAGAAATGCTTCCCCCCAAAAAAAGTTTGTTTTTTTTTTTTTTAAATGCAAAATACTTCAAAATATTATTAGAAACACCAGTCAAAAAAGCCAAATGTTATTTGAAAGGATTCAAATGATGTAATATGCAAAATATTTCAGTTTTTACAACACCTTATCTGTTTTACAGACAATGATTTCATATTCTAGTAGTCTATAGCAAAATATTAACCTTCCTGATTCAGCATGGTAGTCAAAACATGCAGAACACTAAAATAATTAAATATTTTCTGATTATTTCAGCCCAAGTCATTTAAGTGAAATTTACTGGGCACTAAACAAGTTATGACTACGCAGTGCATCCTAAAAAGAACATTAAAATCTATAATTATTTATATATTTATTATTTATATCCTCATGGAGCACAAAGCTGTTGATGGGACTGTTCAGTAATGGATGCTAAAAAATACTCGAGAAATCTTCTTTAGGGCAGACTATCACCTGATAACATTGCTATTGTTGTAAATAACATCATATCACTTGCTAAAAAAACAAGTCCCAGCTTTCAAAATATGAGAACTGTAGTTACTCTACAGCAAAAAGTTAAAGGAGGCAGGATTATCATCTTCCATCTCCACAGTTGGTTATCACTAGAAGAGCCAAGAAATACACAGAGGCCAAAGAAAAAGTCATTTCAGATCAAAGGATGATGTAAGTGCACATATTCAATCAGCAATGATCTAAGTAGAGCAGGTCAGTAGCACATGGTTGGAGAAAATTTACTATGGTGATGCAATACATAGCAGTTCTGACTTGAACACTAGGCACCTTCATTCCATAAGGACAGTAGCAAGGAAATATGATTATTACTACTATACTTTATTGCAGCCTTCCATTACCTGAAGAGAGCTTATAAACAGAGGAGGGAGACCAACTTTTATGTGGTCTTACAGTGATAGAAGAAGGAAAAATGGCTTTAATCTAAAAGAGTGGACACTCAGGTTAAATATTAGGCAGAAATTATTTATTCAGAGTGTGACAAGGCTCTGACATTGCCTGGAGAAGGTGTGGATGCTCAATCCTGAAGGCATTTCAGGCCAGGTCAGATGGGACCCTGGGCAGCCTGATTTAGTGGGCAGCAACTCTGACCAGGGGATTGAAATCAGACAAGCTCTAAAGGACCCTTCCAACCCAAGCCATTCTGTGATTACACTTCAAGCCATTACTGTAACACTGTCTGAAAAATAACTAATTTACAGTTACCTTGATACAGTGTACTCTAAAGCGCTTAGTAAAATGGGCATAAATATGCACATCAATAGAGACAGATAAAGACATTTAAAAACAAGGAAGAAATGAATCTGAAAATTGCTTAACAAACACTGTATAATGGCACAGCATCAACCTTCAAGGCAATACGGAAGCCAGAGGGACAAAAGTGAATCTTCGTATATACAGAGAAACAGCAAGAACTACAGAAGCCATATTACTTCTAAGTTAGTGCTGGCGTTGTACCTATTAGAATAGTAAGTCTTGTTCTGCTATCTGTAATCAATAAGAAAGTGGCTGAAATACTGAAAAGGTTAATAGAAGTCAACAGCACATTTAACAATAGAAAAGCATATAAAACTTTAGAAGAGTAATTTATTTGTGTTAGCAAGGAAATTTGTATAGATCAATCACAATCACAAGTGCTTACACAAAGAACAAAGATAAAGCACGTAACAATACTTTAAGTAAGGTACAGTGTCTTGTTTCTCTCTTTCCCCTTACTGAGTAGAATTTATGGATTAAAAAAAGTAAATGGTTATAGAAGTTCCCTTAACTCCCTATTTGAAGGATCTACAGCATCAAATCCCTTTAAATGCCTTCTGTTATATAACCAAAGCATTTTCTGCTAGATCCTAAATATCTTAAATCTAAATATTTTCATTATCTAGTTCATGATGCCTACATCTCTACCTGACATTAGCAATAATTACAAATGCGATTTCCCCCCCCCAGCCCCTCAGACTTACTCATTTGGATATTTATATAGTCCTTAGATATAATTTTCTTTCTGAAATCATAGAAAATTTCCCTCCTTGACAAACTGAAACCCTAATGTATTTTGTGGCAGGCCCGCACCAGTATTCTCAATGTTAATAACCAAATGAGAAGTAGCAAGTTTAAAAAGGAGAGCAGAAAGTTTATGATTTTTTTTTCCCATTTGAAAACAAAAGTTTATTTTATTTATTTATATATATATATATTTTTTTGCTAATGAAAAGCCCCAGTTTACTGAAACAGCTCTGAAAGATGGGAGTTTTGAGATGAAACATAACCTGCTCTGCTGCATGATTATCTTATAGCTTTGACAATGAAGAAAAGATAAATGCACATTTGCTGAATATTTCCCAGACTTACGGAGGCTGCCTAGCTCTGTTCTTTAAGTTTCCTTCTTTGAAAGCAACCAACCCTCCTGAGAAATTAGGCAAAAAGCCTTATAAAAAAAGAAATATATATATCTGTAAATGTAAATCAAATAATGGTAATTATTACATTAAAAACCATGTATAATTATTTTTATTTGGCTTCTTATGGTCTGCTAAAATTTTATAATTGAAGTCCATTAACAGCATGTAACATTTTATTAATAAGTACAGAGAAGCAGAGCCAGACTGGGTCAGATACTGAAGGTCCACTTAATGCTCATCTTGCCTAAGATTAATGTGGCCAGCAACTCATGCTTAGACAAGAGTTCAAGACCAGGACAGAGATATCATCCTACTGCCCCATTAATTGTTCTACCATCTAGCAATTCCTGAATCATAACTGATACTTTCATATTTAATAGCTACAGTTAATTTTTCTTCCATAATTTTTCTCCTCTGTCTTTAGAACCCAGGAGAAAACCCTTGTTCTACAAGCCAAAATATGCTGTGGGGAGAAATTTCACAACTCGACTGACTGCTTTCTTTTGTTTTTCTCTGGTATAAGCTTGCCTTATACATGAAGGAAGTATCATTATGTTTCCCCTATTTTTACACTGTTGCTCAGATATCGAGAGATGGACACCAGCAAAGACAAATCAATGGACCAAACTCATCTTTTGTCCAACCCAGTTCAATTTCTCTGACACAGAATGCAAAGATGAACTTGCATTGGGACAATTTAAGGATGCACGCACAAACAACTGTGCTAATAAACTGCTGCAACATAAAGTGCTATGGTAATTAGATCAGCATATCTGATCACAGAAATGGGGTTTCTCTGATAAACAAAATGCTATTTCAATTCTATCAACATAGTACTGTATCTGAATAAACAATGAACTTACAGACATTTCCTGTGTTGTCAAAGCTTGTAAGAACATCTTTAACATTTAGGAGTCCGTTGTGCAATCTAGAAGAAAACAAATAGCAACTTCACCAACATGCAAACAACAACAAAAAAACCCTCTTCAAGAAAGAGGTTCACTGCACATGGTGTCCATTTCTCACCCACTTCTTTTCACAGATACTACTGTACCAACTAGAGGTAAAACTGGGAGACAATCAGTGGTCTTCAAAGATCTACCACTGAAATTCATGAATCAGGAAACCGTTCCTCAGAAACTAATAGTTTATCAATTCTCCCCACCCCCCCCCCCAAAATGGAATAAGTTTCAGCCTAGCTGTGGAAACCATGTATAGGAAAGGAAGAATTTTAGTAGAGCAATTTCTTTGAACAGAAAAAAACAAGAGTATTTTTAAACAACAGCAGTAAATACATTCCTATTTTCTCCAAAAGAAAAAAAAAAAAAACATCAACAAACAAAGAACATTTAATTAACATCAACAATTAAACTGATTCTGTTCAGTGAACTGCACTCTCTTTGGTTTTATATTTGTATAATTCAAGTGAAATGAACATTCAAAACTGGGGCTAATTAACTAAATTTCACATAAGCTTCAAATTTTAGAGCACATTGAGGAAATCAGTGACAACCTGAAGAAGGAAACCACATAAAATTTGAGCATGAATTTGCTTAAGAATCTTCCTGTAAGTGTTACAGATGTCACACTAACTAGACTCACAAAACAAGAACTATATGTGTATATATTTATTTATTAACTACTCCAAGCTAATTTAAGCCCCAAAGAAAAAAAACTAGGAAATCTTGCACTCTAAAATAATTAGATCCCACAGTTCTTTCACAAATGCATTAAAAAAAAAAATTCTAAAAATAATTTGGCAAGGTAGCAAAATGCAGTTTTTAAAAGTTTCTAATACAGCTTCCAGGGCTGTTTGTGATCGTTCTAATTTTGAACAATTAATAGAATAAAAAGGTTTCAGCATTTACAAAATTAGTGCTCATTCTCTCAGCTTATTTTTTTTTCCTTGATAGAAGATTGCTGTAAAGATAGGAGAAAAATCTTTTCACAGATATGAAACTGTATTTTTAGTTCCAAAAGATATTTGTAGCATAACATTCGTAGTTAAACATTAGTTTTTGAGAAGTACCAAACACCAGCTGGAATAATTCTTAAAAAAGAAAAAAGAAAAAAGGATAACAAACTGAAATAAGGTCATAAATAGGGATAAGAAAAATGTATGAAAGATATTAAAAGCATCCTTCAACTGAACATCAAAACTTTCCTTCTAGCTACATAAAAACAACACAGAAATTTCTTGGTTGTGCTTGACAGTGGAAACCTACAAGTATTTTGATGGATCTCCTGCACTAAAAATTTACTTTCTTTTCTTTTTTCTTTGACAAGTTTGGTTTCAGTCTGATCGGACAACTGATCCAACAGAGTTAATCCAGAGGAAGATGCAGAAAAACAACCAGGATTGGTAGTTCTGCTGACTCATTAGCATCCTAACTGCATAACCAGGTGTATTTGTGAGAAACTCAGGATCTCCATATGGTTTTGAATGTCTTTTCTCTGAACCTGTAAGACTATAGGGAAAAGAAAAATGCAGATATAAAAACAAAACAAGAAAACTTTCATCTTTGTTAAATTTAACCCTTGAACAAGGAATTGATTTTTTTTCCGATTTCTATGCATTCATAGTTCATACATAAAGGAGATTTATCATAAAAAAATCTCCAAGTTAAGCAAGCAGAGGAAAGGATGAGCAATTTAGAACTCCAGTACAGAACACCATGAAGAAAGAAAAATGTAAGTGAAACATCCTGGGCTAGAAAACAATACAATTTATTGTATTGTCAAAAGGTAGACAAAAAGCAAAATGGAAAACTGATACAATAACAGCACTGCCCTTAAGTTACCACTAAACCAATTTCAGGCTGTTTCCAAAATAATGATTTTAAACTGGAGATGAGATTACATCTGCTTTACAAGGTAAGATTCCATGATGGATGTCCGCCCACTTCTATTCTTTCCAAGGTTATCCTGAATTTTGGAAGATATTCTATTAAAAATAACCTTTTTTTTTTTTTTTTTTTTTTTTTTTAAAAATCAAGAAATGAGTTTCACCTAGGTTTCATCTGCAGTTACTTTTTTTTTTTTTAGCTTTTGTTAAGGATCAGTTCTTCCTCTGATGACAGTTTTCTATGATTAAAATCGATACACACCCAAATTTCAAACACATTCTAGTATTTCATACTCAATACCAAAAGGTTGTGGCATTCAAGTACAAACACAACACACCCTAAATGTTGCTGTCTTAGCCAGTGGTGGCATTTTGCATTGAATATTGAGTCTCTTTCTCTCATCTGCTGTCTGGGTATCTTTTTCTTGCTTTTACAAATACCAGTCATGGCAAGCACACGTGTGACCCATCATTAAATGATGAGAAAGACACAGCTTTGCAATAAAGAACATTCTTCTCCTCCTGAAACTCGTCAGGGTTTAACATCTGCTTCCTTCAGTCTGATCAGCTCGTGAAACCTTCACTGAACAAAAGCAAAGAGCAAGCTCAACCACCTAGAATGAGAGGAGTAGCCATTATCTCAAGAGTTGCCTGGATAACAAAGCCACTCTCACTTATTCTGGAAATGACTTCTCAGGTTTTACACATATTGCCATTATGGACAAACGTAAGGCTACCCCAAGTCAGTAACAAGTCCATCGCAAATGGAACATGTAGCTTAAAAGTCCCATTTATCTGTAAACACAGAAATTCCATAAACCTAAAGCCTGCCATCAACATCACACTACTCAGTGCCATTCCTAAAAAATGCTGTTCCTAACTTGAGACCCACAGCTCTACACTGCTCTACCCCAGCAGTTCTGTAAGCATTGCTCCTTCTAGGCCTCACTTCATCAGCTGATCTTCCATTACCCAGCTCAGGAAGAAAAAAAGCGATGCAATACACATCACACCCTGTTTCTATAAATGCTTTTTATATTAGCAGCTTTCAACAGTATTTTGAAGAAACTGCCCATGCACTCTATTATGAAAGTCAAGAAAAGAAATCACAGGAGTTAGTAGTTAAGTCTCAATCCCCAAACTCCCATGAATTCCCATAGGCATCCCAAATATAGAAAAACATTAGTATTGAGTACATGAGTACTGGAATAGGCTACGGATGTTGCCCAGCACAAGTAAAAATAGTTCAAAGCTATGATTGCTGAGATCAACATAGAAAGTACTTCATATGAGCATTAGTAAGCAACATGGACAAAGGATTTCAGCTCAGCATGGTTAACTTGATCTATGGCATTCTTATTACAAGTCTTTGAGGTACAGCATGCAAAAATTTCTATGATTGAGGCAATAAGTTACAGAAGGCAAACCAAAGAATAATAGATCAATTTAATTAACTTTTCTCCTGATACAAATCAAAAATCCTTACTTTCAACTACAAACAAATCAACTTTGGATGTATAAAGTCATATAGGGAAAGGGAAATAAGTATTAAAATATATTAATATTTCTTCTTCTTCATTTCAGGAAGAGTTGTAGGCAGTAAACTGAAGATAATAATTCAGTAGCTCCCCAATTAAGGCATGCTTTCCAATAAATCATTATGAAACTAAAGTAAATTCCATTTCTTGCTTTACATTACTCTTCAACAGAATGAGGAAAGCAACGCCATACTTAAACAAAATGACAAAAACTAAGTTAAGCTATGTATTATATAACGCTTGGGAGTGGGTAGGAGAAACAACACATCACCATGTGTTATTAACCCAGATACAAAATAAAGCTACAATATTTAAGGAAAATGCAAGATGGAATAAGAGTAAGACAGCTGCTGCAACGGGGACTTTAAAACAAAGACTGCAGAGTGTCACCACCAGTTGTCACATCAGTCTAGTGAGAACTTCAGAATTATCTATAAACCTTGTTATCATAGAATCACAAGGTCGGAAAGAACCTACAAGATCATCTAGTCCAACCATCCTCTCATCACCCTTACTACCACAGCCAGTGAACCATATCTCATAGCACGTCACCCAGATAGATTAGATGCTTTTTCTGGGACAGAATATAGAAAAGCAAGACAAACTTCTCTTTCACTTCGGTTTAAGATCTCAGCTTAATACAGTAAGAAATCAAAACAACAGCTTTTTTATCTACAAATTCTTTTTATAGGCATACAACTCTTGGACAATATGATGCAACCATTTTAGTTCAGTGCTGCCAAATCCCTTCTCAGCTTTTTCCTCCTGAGCCTAAGTGTTTATGCTTCTAAATTCATATGTTGTCTCTTAGCATGCAATAATTTGAATATGCAAGATTGTTATATCCTCACAAACTAGCCACAATGTGTAGGCAATATTCCTTCACATCTGCTTTCTTTCAACTCATGCCTAGACCTAAAAAAATAAAAAAAAAATCCCTAACCATTAGAATTTCAAAATATTTTTAGCAGAAATACCCTACAGGAATATCCAATGGAATTCAATCCTAAACCATCGTCTAACATTTCATGTGCCATGAACAAATAACATGCCTCTCATTTCTAAACCAAAGGTCTAGAATAATCTTATAATTTTTTCCATATTTTTGTCATACTCAAAATAAAGGCACGACACTTTGCAAAGAACACTTTACGCTCTCTGCAAAAATTTAAACCTACCTGTAAGCTGCTGGCATTCTTCTCAGTTCAGCATTTCAGTATTTGAAACACCAAATTACTGATCAATGGAAGATGTTTTACCACAAAAATAACTTTGCTTTTTTACTCTAACTGCTTAAAATGAGCCAACAATTTTAAACTAAATCTATGTTCTGAAAATGTAATGACATTGATGACTCATTTTTTAGCTTCAATTAAAAAAAAAAAAAAAACAAACAGAAAATAATTTTCACATCTAAAAGTCAGACAGCATTTCCACAGGGAGATACTACACTATGATACTACATTATGATCTATAATGACTTCCAGAGCCACTGCTCTCCCTCCCCCCCTCTAACCTCCACAGCTCTGGGATTCTGTGTAATCACGTGTACGTAGCCACCCAACACATATCATTAAGACATTAAGACAAGGATGTTGTGTGTAGATGCAACAAAGACATTACCAATCCAAACAAGCCTCACCTAATTAGCAGAGGTTTTGAATCACAGGATAGGAAATTTTTTTTAGTAGTGAAAAATAGCATCAAAATAAAAAGTACTCATCAGATACTCCTTTCATACCCCAAAACTATCACGAAGCATTTTAGTATTAAGAACACCTAAACCCTAAAAAACCACCTTCTGCCAGATGCTGTAAATCTACATTAAACAACAATCTCTAGTATGCTTAACTAGACAGGTCATTTGGATTTTTTTTTTTTTTAAATTATTTTTTTAAGTGCAATTTGCCTTGCATGAGATTCTTCTGGCTTCTAGTTTTGAAAGATTTCTTATTAAAAAATGCTTCTAAAATGAATGACTGACAGAAAAGCACTGCATAGGTTCTTCTCCCTCCAAAAATGCAAACCCAGCCTGAATTCGGCTAGAAAAATGACAGTTAATAAAAACAAGTTGCTTTGAGAAACTCAGAAAATCATGCACACAACTGGTAGCTCCTATTGAAGCTTTTATTTGCCTAACAAACTGGTCCCCAGGTCCATGTAGAACAGTAATTCCAGCTAGGTCATAGCATATCTGAATACACAATTTGATCTGTTTTGATAGCCACTGAACTGATATAGGTTGACCTTTAGACTTTTTGCCAAAAGCCACTATCAACCTTACGAACTTTCTAAAGTATCTAGTCTTGTCAAGATATTAGTTGACAACACTTCCAACATACAACATAAGCAATGAGCTATCCCAAAAAGATGCTAATACATAAGGAAAACATACATAGATGAAAATTCAAAAGCACTTTTTGCCAGAGAAAGATGTTACTATGAAAAAACTCTCTTACTAGAGCACACAGTTCTAATTTACCTGGAAGATGTTCTTATTGTTAATAATATGTTAATAACATGTTTCTGTATCTAGTTCAAACTGTTTCTATTAATGAAAATGATAAATAACATTTTGTCAGCAGAAGGAAAAAAAAATGAAAGACTTAAGTTTCTAAAGACATGCTCAGTTCTCAAAAATTTGAGAAAGCTAACTCCAAGACTTATCTTCTAGACACGGAAGTTTCAGCTAGGAGAACTGTTAACGTGCTGTGTATGCTGAGTTGTTAAGTTTACCACCTTAAAATACTGCTTCTGCAGAAGTAGGAAAGAAAATTTGACACAGACACAATAAACTGGATTTTAGTGCAGCTATTTATACTTTGACAAAGCACTCAGTGAAGGAAAGAAGGAGAAATTCTTCACCGATCTTCGATATTTGGAAGTAGTAAATATATGTTGTCCATTGTTACTGGTTCAACAAAGAAACAAAAGAGTACATAATTTCTGACCATTGTTCTTAAATGATCACCCTGATCACCATTTACAGCAATCATCTAGCATTCTCTAGGAGAAAAAAAAAACAAAATGAGGGGAAAAAAGAAATCCTTACCAAGAGACAGTTTTCCTATCACTTTCAATACATTTTTTTTTAATTCAAATGGGAGCTTGCTCCAGCACAGAGACTGTATGTTTCTATTAGCAAAGCTCAGACAAACATAAAAGATAAAAATAAAATGCCTGTACTCAATAATGTAGTATACAGTGATTGACAATAATTAAGCCATGCATTAATAAATATGACCGTAATCTAATAATTTGAGCTGTGTCCCACCATCAATGAAGCCACCCTTAGCCAAATAAAAAATACAAAGATGACATGGTGTATCATGATGGAATGTACAGCAATGACAGCAGAGTAACAACATCCTAAGCTTCAGCAAGCAAGGACCCAATCAAATGCAACAGCTATGGGCACATGAACAAAAGAATCTGCTTACCTTTGGAAGGCCTCAGGTACACAGGAATCTTCACTGAGATACCTTTGCCTCCACTGCCAACCCTTAAATGAGATCTGAGATGGGGTGGATCCTGGCTCCACCCCTTCCAGCCACTCAAGTGCACTGCATGCACCTGAGCTCCTCTCGGTTGTCCCTGCCTTCCCACCAGGTGTTCAATCACTGCTTCAGGCTGTGACTTAGCATTTCCACTACACATTGAAAGTGATGGAAACAGAAGAGCTCAAACACCATGCGACAGCAAGATCGGCCTGACATCCACTTTGCTTTTGTAGTGCCAGCACAGCTGAACTTTAACTTGTGTCATACCTTAAAATTCTTCTAAATAGTCAATCAAGTAAGTGACACCAAGTGCTGCAAAGTCAACTAAGGAGGATGAATGAAGAAGTAAAAGACAGCAGTCTAAAGGACTTGCTCAGCCAAAATTCTATCTAACATTTCCTACTGTCAGTGTGTTTCTGAAGACATACAACCACGGAGAAGAGACAATGAATAAAGAGACTGTGAGCATTTGGCAGAATCCCTTGCATTACTCAACAGCTCGCTGGAAAAGTCCATATGCAGAACCATCCATACTTCTATCATAGTTAGGCAGAATTTTCAAACTGAAAGGTTATCTTCTGAAAACCTTTACTTTCCGTAAGCTTAAGCATGGAAAAAAAAGCAATATTAAAGCTTTGTAAAGCCTTAAATAATTTCATACATGACTTTACACTTTGCTGCAGATTTAAGACAATCCACATGCAGTTGCTTTGTTTGTTTTGAATGTTTTTAACTTTGCAAAATTGTCAGAGTTAAGGGTGGTCATTTGTTTTTGTTAGATCTTAGTTTCTAAGACTGACTCTTTCTGATGTCCTAGTTAAACAAGAAGCGTATTACAAAATTTCCATGAATCAGACTCTCCAGATTTTACATTTTGCACAGAACGCAAAGTCCGACACACTCAGCAGGCTTAATTAGAGGCTGCAGAACAAGTTTTGATTCAGAAATGCTTAAGTTACTCTTGTAGTAATACCTGTTGAGGCAAAACCAAGTTATAGTATGCATAAAACCGTGGAAAAGCAAGAAAGAAAAAACACAGTAATGAATGGACAGAGCTATAAACTTTTGTTTTGCTACTGAGAACTTACTAACAATTCCTTCAGACTGTACTGTTTTTCTTTTCTTTTTATCTACTCTGATATAAAACCTGTTCTTCCATTAGAAATTAACCCTTTCTGTAGGAAGAGGAATTCTTATATTCTCTTGTTTTACCGATTGGTTTCCAAATTATCATAGAGTTTCACAGGAATCAAGAAAATTCAATAAAATACAGATCACTAACAGAAAGCCTTCAGAACTTGATGAATAACGTCATGTCACCAAAATTTTGATTAAAATTACAAGTAAATTTGTTCAGTTTTTACCTCCTTTTTACATCATGAGAATGTCAAAACAGAAAGCCCTAGAAGTACTAAACAAATGCTTGTCTTTGCATTCTGTTATAAGTACAATCATCAGTATATATTTCAAACTCAGGCACTTAACTGAGAGGTACTGAAAATCAAAACAAACAACACCACCACAGACAACCGCTTACTGTAATGTACAAGTACAGATAACATCTAACAATTTATTTGTAAACCACGTCCTATTTGTACAGAACACTGCAAGAATGAGAATAAGATTTATACTCTGTGCAATATCTTAGGAAGTACTTAAATGATGATTACCTTATGGACACACTATACTCAGGATAAAAGATGCTTTTATACTGAACCCAGATCCCAGTTTCCTCTTCAGTATTCTGGCCATCTACTGAAAAGAGATTGAACGATGTGAATCTTCTCACAGACACTTGTTGGAGATGCACATCTTTCAAGTGCTTTTTCTTCAGAACCTTTGAAATGAAGAACAAATTAAACGTTAAGAAAAAAACTTTCAAGAAAAGAACAAATACAGGCTTCTTTAACTACAAGGCAAGAATCAATCATAACAGCTATGTTGCTAGCTAATAGCTATGAATAACTAGTCCAAGCACGTCAAGCCTGAGAAAAATATTCACGATAGGAGTCAAGAGAATGGATTATGAATGTATTATGTCTCAAGAACTGTAAAGCAAATGTATTGTGTTCACAAATAAAGTTGCTTTTTAAACTCTGTCTCCAGCGAACCCATGCCAGAATTGGAGAGGCAGATTGAGTTCTCTCCTGCTCTTGAATCACCACAACAGAAGTCTGACAGACCAAGCAGGGCTCTCACCATGCAATTTCTGTCCCACTCACCGTTCCTGTGAATGAAATGAGAAAGCGCAGACATCTTCCATAGAATTTAAATGACAGCCCCAAAACGTGATTCTCAGATGCCCTACTGCTATGTTTTTGCCAGGTAAACCTCACTAGCTCACTTTTGCACAGCTGCTCACAAATTTGCCCCAGTTGAGCAATTTGCTGCCTGTAACAGCCTCCAGACTTTGAGACGCTACAACTACATATTCCATATCATTGGCCAACCTTTGCATAAGCCTCAAATGCACTGACAGCACCAAGAAGCCAAAGAATTCAAAGCAATAGCATAGGCAGAGAATGTGGCCACTTACACTTTTTGTAATAGCTACAAGAATTAAAATATTTGCTCAGGAAAGGGACAATGCGAGCCCACTGTCCTGCATGGCATGCTGCACTCAACCCTGTTTTCCAGGAGTGTGTTACCAACTCCTCCATATGGGAAACCCTATGCCCAGCTTGTTCAACCTGTACCACCATGACAAAGACAACTAGCATTTTCATGCCACATATAAAGGGTAATTCTTCAGGTCAGCAATGTGGAAGGAGAAGAGAGAAGTCCTGGATGTAAGTTCTTTCTCTTAACAATGGACAAAAAAATGTAAATAATCACCACTTCAGTTTTAAAATCAAGGTGCATAAGCACTCCACAATGATGAAAAAATGGAGCAGAAAATAAACTCATCACTAGAGATGAATAGAGCTGCATGAGATAGCTCTATTGAGTAGGAGCACACTGCAATTTTCATGTTTTTCCCAACTAGAGCTAAATCTGAAGTCAAACAAGAAGCAGCTCTCCAGAAATGGAAGCTTTGCATACTGAATGCGTACAAGAAAATAACGGGTCAGTGATTTTTGCTGCACCCAACCTTTGTCGACCGCGCTTTAACTGGAAATGCACTCAGATCCAGCAGCCTTACAATTTGGTGCCATGACCTATTATTTTGCAGAATACTTGGAAGTACTACATACAGGAGCAGAACAATTGTATTTGCTATGCTGTTAGTTTCTAATAGCAGGTCTGATGCATCAGGCTTATTGCTTTTGGATCTTTTTTCATCAGCAGGGCTCAGCATATGAAAGGCACAGGCATTCTTATCAAAATATTAAAAATGGCTGTGTGTTGTCCACACCATTTCTTCTACTCATGTTATACATGAGAAAAATACAAACACAAAGAAAATCACAAAACTATCAAAACGGGAGAACTGAATTAAAAGAAACCAGAAAATAATAGTAGTATGTCTAGAAATGAAGCACCTTGACAACTAAAGAAATCCACCAAGACATAATTTTTAGAAAAGAATGTTGTTTGGGGGCTTTCTTAAAGCAAAAGCAAGACATTACTAACAGGAAAAAAAAAATCCAGCAGTGACATTTTTCTGGGTTTTTTTTTTTTGTTGTTTTTGTTCTACCTACTCTGTAAAATGCAATCTCTAGATTAGTAGAAAATCTAATGAGTATTTGAGCACTCAAAAGAACATTAAAAGAACATTTTTCTCTCTTAAACTAGTCTTAAACTAGAATTATGAGGTCCAAGATTAGAAAATTATAAACAGCAGGTCAAATCTTTTAAAAACCTAAATATAACTGAGAAAGCAGTGCACAAGGGAAGAATATGTTGCATTATTTATATTTAACTCTGCATTTTCACATTAGGATCAAAGTATTTTTTCTTAGTCAGCTCTTAAAAGCATCACAATTTTTGTTACAGAAATAGCCTGCTGGTCTGCATAATCCACCACCACCACCACAAAAAAAAGAAAAACCAAAAAAACAAACTACAGAATGTGACAAACCTACTTAGACTTCTAATACAATTTCAAAAACTTTGAAAAATGGTCCTCTCTAATTTCATGGTGCCCATCCAGTGGACTTGAATCTTCCAAATTTCCTGCATGCTGCCATTGTAAATGGACATCTCCCAGGGACCTATAAAACCAGCAGCATGGACACATTTCCAGGTTTTTGCAATGTATGTGGGCTTCAGCTCAGCACTAGTCCTGAAGATGCTGGCTGCATCTGTACCAACATCCCCACTGCTGCAGGACAACTCAGTCATTTCAGAGATATTTAACTCAGAAGCAGAAATGAGCTCAAATATCACCTGCAAGCTTCAGACTCAAAGGAAATCAAACCCAATAATTGTTCAAGTAGACCACCGCTGCTCACTGCATTGTAAGAGCCTCTGGTTTACTTGCTTGTTTTGAATCTATGTAGTCCAATGGACATACAGTACTTCCAAATGGCAATAAATAAATAAATAAAAGCAAGAGCTACCTGTTAACATGCTCCTGGACAATGCTCTCAGACATATGGTCTAATTTTTGGGTTGTCCTGTGTGGATACAGGAGATGGACTTGATCCTTATAAGTCTTTTCCAATTGGGAGTATTCTATGATCTTACGTGGCATCCAGAGGAGGGCCACAAAAATGATCCAAGGGATGGAACACCTCCCCAGGGAGGACAGGCTGAGAGAGCTGGGGTTGGTCAGCCTGGAGAAGAAAAGGCTCCGGGGAGATTCATGAGTGGCATTTCAGTATCTAAAGGGAGGCTATAAGAAAGAATGGGACAGACTTTTTAGCAGGATCTGTTGTATTAGGATACAGGGAAACAGTTTCAAACTAAAAGAGGAGGGATTTAGTGTATAAGGTTACAAATTAAGAAGTTCTTTACTTCTTCCTTAGGCAGAAGTGAGGCAGTGAGGCACAGGAACACGTTGACCTGAGAGGTGGTAGATGTTCCATCCCTGGAGACACTCAGAGTTCAGGCTGGGGGAGCTCTGAGCAATGTGATGTAGCTGTAGGTGTCCCTGTTTATTACAGGGGAGTTAAACTAGGTAGCCTTTAAGAGTCCCTTCCAACACAAACCATTCAACAATTCCGTGTCATAATCAAAACATGAAAAAACAAAACAAAACAAAAAAAAACTCACCATCCATCATTCTTAATCAAAAGACAAGGCATTAAAAAAGAAAAAAAGCCAGACAATCACCATTCTGCCTTCTGTTTCAGATTCTGGATTTCCACAGATCTCAGTTAAGGTCCCTTGGTTCTTAACGTAGTGATAAAGTACACATCAGAACTCCCTATAGAGACAATCACTCGCAGTTCACTAGATTTCTTGCAACTGATTATTTATAGCCTGGCTGCACCAAAAGCCAAATTCAGAGCTGGTGCAATGCAAACTCCACTCAAACGTATAGCACTGATTTGGTCTTTCGTATGCACACAAAAGTTTTTTCCTAATCAGCTACAGCATAAATATATACTGCTAAATATTAGCAGTAGGATTACGCGCTCCTCCTTCTTACAAATTGCTTCTTTACCCAACGGCTCCATTCTGCCGCAAACAATTTACAAACTCAAGTCTAACAAGAACATGGAAAAAGCCCAGGACCACGGGCACTACACGGAGCTGAGCGCACCAAACACCCGCACCCCTCCCTCGAGAATGGAAGCCGTTCCCTCCGAGCCCCGCTCCGCCCGCCGCCCCGCCGCGACCCCTTCCCGCCCGCGGGCTCCCCCTACCTGTCCGAGCAGCCTCCAGCGGGCTCTCGCCGCTCCCGCACCGCTCCCTCCGCACCTGCCCGCGGCGGGGCGGCGCGGAGAGCCGGCAGCGTCGGCCATGCGGGAGTGCCCGGGGTTGAGGCAACGAGAGAGCGCGGAGCGGCGGCCCTGCGGTGCTGGGACCGGCCGGGCTAGGGCTTGGGAGAGAGGAAGCGGGGCGCCATCTTTGTTAATGGCAGCAGCACGTTGCTAGAGGGGCGCGGCGCATCTGCTGTACCGCGCGCGGCTCTGCAGGGGTGAAGGTGCGCCTCAAAACGGGGCTTCCGTGGGTTCAGAACCCCGCGGGTAAAACGCAGTGTGAAACGCGAGGGCCTAAAGCGAGCGGCACGCAGAGACTGACGACGGCCGTGCTCGACCGCAGCGACTGGCTGAAGCGCCCCGCCGCCATCTTTGCTACGGGCAGTGCCCTGAGTGAACCGGAGCGGCTCGCGCTCGCTGCCATCTTAGCCCGGCCGGAGGGAGAGCCGCCCGGCCTGGGCACGGCTGTGCTGCCGCGGTGAGGCATGGAGCTAGCGGGGTGGGGCCGGCTTTTCTGGCCTTCGGCGGGGGGGTGGGAGGGACCGCGGTTGAGGACTGTGGAGGTATCAGAGTTACTGGTGCAGAGGGGTTTGTCTCTTTGCCGTTAAGCGGCCCTCCTGAAAGTGATTCTGTTGTTATAACATACTTCTAAAGCAGAAAAGAACCAACTTCCCGAAAGCAGCATTTGGTCGGATGCACAGTTACATCTTCCTTGCTCTTTGCTGGTAATTTCAGCAGAGCTAAACTCCCAGCTGCTGGGAACCATGTGCTGGAGAAACATCGAATCGCCTTAGTTGGAAGGAACCCTTAAAGACCACCTAATCCAACTGCACTGCATTGAACAGGGGCACCTACAGCTGGATCAGGTTGCTAAGAGCCCCCCAGCCTTGAATGTCTCCAGGGATGGGTATCTGCACCATCACTGCACAGCTTGTTCCAGTGCCTCACTGCCCTGACTGTAAAAAAAACTTCTTCCTTATGTCCTCTTTTAGTTTGAAACCATTTCTCTGTGTCCTGTCACAACAGACTCTGCCAAAGAGCCTGTCCCCATCTTTCATGTAGCTCCCCTTTAAATACTTCAGATACTATCAAGTCACCCTGAAGCCTTCCCTTTTCCAGGCTGCCCAGTCCCAGCTTTCTCAGCCTGTCCTTGTAGTGGAGGTGTCCCATCCCTTGGATCATTTTTGTGGCCCTCCTCTGGACACTCTCTTAGACGCACGTTAATGTGCAAGCTCAATTGCATGTATCACTTAGTATTAAGCACCTTCAGTTTTACTGTTCTCATCTTATTTACCTAATGATCTTTGAAAGATGAAGCTTTATCTTCAGGTTATGTTATGTATATTTCACATAGTGTAAGTGATCAGGAGCTTGGGATTTTCATAAATTTCAGGTTGACTGTCAAGACAGGATTTGGATATCATGTGTTGGACTGCGAAATCTTTTGTCCAAGGGCTGAGCTTCAGTGTTAAATACTATCCTAAGGATAACCATCTTCGAGCACTATGTCTTTGTAGTTCAGTAAAACCAAACAAATGCCACATCCTGGACTGGTCAAGAAGACCACGCAACAGCACTGTGCCACCTGGAAGAACCCTGTCATGGAGGTTATTTTCCTGCAAGGTATGCAGTTTATGTATAGGCAATGTCAGCAACTGTCTTGATGCATCTGTTAAGGAAGCCAACTCTGTTTTTCAGAAGTCAAAGAAATATGTTCTTCCTAAAGGGCTTAAAGCAGGAAAATAAAGGCCAGGGCTTCTGTTATGTTCAAAGATGCATACTTTTTTTCACATTCCCTATACTGTGTTGATGTCAATCTGCATTTTTCTTGCTTTTTCTGCTGAAACAATCTGTAAAAAATAACAACAAAGGGGGGAAAAAAGTATTTTCTGGAAAGATTCAGAGTGTTAGGAAAAAACATCAGGGGTCTAGAGAGAGAGAGAGGTCGCCCACCTATCCTAAGATGAGCTGGCTGAAAAAAACTTGGTCTTTGGTTTATTTTATCTTAGACATTTTCAGATGAATGTGGAGTTGTTCAAAAACTGTTTCAAGCTGAGTTGTTTCTTCACAGATGACTGAAAGATCAAATCAAAAATATTTGTTGAAACCCTCTTATTTCTAACCATCACGTAACAGTTGCTATGTCTCTGCCACAAACGTAGATAAATGTTTCAAGGAAAGTACTTGAACTCTTGATGTATGAGAAACTGTAGCTGCATGTATGCACTGGCCATTCTGTAACAGGATCACAAACGCTGGGCTACAGCACTAGTTTCAGGAGTCATGTGGTCTTTGCCTGTTTGGCTGGAGCAAACATTACATTGTCACCGAGATCTTCTACTATCCTCTCAAGATTTTCTAGATGACTGCTTTTTTCTCAGGTGTACTGTAACTTCTCCAAATGAAAGGGAATCATCGTGAGCTTCATAAGTGCCCTGTGAGACCTCCCAAAAAGTTTGGATGCTAAAAATTTACAAGGTGTAGAGGGAGATTATACGTGTACTTGAAAGAGACTTTTAAAGTATTTTTAAATATCCAAAAGCCATATTCATACTCTTGTAGTAATGCAAAGCTGATTTGGTCAGTTTGTAGCTCAGGAAATATCATTCTTGCCTTAGTACATTCATACTGGAGTACAGAATACTGGTTTGTAGCCATTGTTTTTTTTTTTCCTTATTCAACAGGAGGGGACAAAAATCCATTGTAAAAGGGAAAAACTCACATCCATAACAGCATCAGAGCTTTTGTACAAAGATCTTCTAAAATCAGAGCAGGAAAACTGGAATAAAATTTCAAGAAGTTATAAAGCTCTGACAAAAAGAATAAAGGAAAAAATAGAAGAACTGAACAACAAGTATACATTCCATTTGGAAAGCCCAAGGGTGAGTGAAAAAAAATACAAACTTTTTTTTTTTTTTTTTTTGTCACTGCAGCAAAGTCATTCCTGTTATAAAATACTTTTAAAATAGTTATTTTGTTGTTGTTCAAGTGTTGAAGTTTTTAATAATTGTGGATAGCAACAGCACACACTGAGAATAGCTCATACCTATTATGATAGTATATTTGACCTTAATTTCACCATAGTCAGAAACAAAAGACGATCACACAATTCTCTGTAACTGATGAAAATTAAGACTACAAGGAGCAAGTGCAGGTGATCTGAGCCATTCACTAAATTTAGAGTATGTATAGGTAGCTTAAATACCCTAATTTTAAAATAACCTTTCTGATGTATGTAATTCCCTCTTCCCCCTACTCAATATTAAATATGTGCTGTATTCTGTCATTTACATACTTTTCTGCTGGACAGAACACTGAATTTTGTTGGGATTCTAAGGAGATAATCTATAGCTTAAATTGAAAAATGTTTGTTTTGCATTGAACAGATAAGATTTGGAGGAAATGTTTACTTTGAGGAGAATGGTTACATATTTTGTTCAAAAGCAGATGATGGTAAGGGATTTATTTTCCTAACTTGTTACAATTGTTTAAAATTGTTGTGTGTACATGATTAGTACACTTTTTAATTAAAGCATATTTGCTGTTTATTAAAATATTTTAAGTTTTTTAAAATACTATTTAACAATAAATGAATAATTCTGGAATCCTGAATCTGAAAAGGTGGGGTGAAAAGAGTAAAGGAATGGTGTATTCTAAAACTGAGGCAAGTTCCTGGAAAGGAACTGAGAATCAACCTCTCAGAGCCCCAACTTAAAATGCTAAAAAAGGTAAAGTACTTCAAGAGATTATAAAGAAAACATAAAACAAACAAATAAATACCTAAAAGCTATACTTCAAAATTTAAAGCATTGACCAAATGCTATTGTATGCGTAATTATATTTTTACACAATGCATTTGTAGATATCTCACGAAATAAATCCTTGGTTTCAGTAGTATTGTAAGTGTACTTATTAAATACTAGTATAAAAAAATACTGTTCATTTTGACACACCTCAACTACAGGTTGGTTTTGTTTTGTTTTGTTTTTCCTACACTTGTTAAAATACAACAGATAAAGGAAATGTTCGCATTTTATTCAGCACTGAAGATATGGGCTTTTCTGGTGCCTTTATTAAACGGATCAGGATTTCACCAGATGAGAGGTACCTGGCTACCAGCTTAAAAAGTGAAAATTCTGAAGAGGCAACCTGTGTTATTACGAAAATTGGTGATGTTCCCATTGTGGAAGAAGTAATTCCAAATGTGTTTAGTTTTGGTAAGTTGTTTATAAAGATCCTATGGTTCACACCAACTTCCAGTACAACATTGCTTTTAGTCTACAAATAATGGTGATAGTACTTAAAAAAAAATAAGCAAGTTTTTTTTAGTTTAAATCCTCATAGCTGTTGAATAGTTTCTTATTTCAGAGATGTGTTCTCCTACACTGTAAAATTACAAGTTATTTGATACGAATGAGTGACTCCTTTCATGATACAAGTTTTCCTTTATTATAAAAGCAAGGATTTGTATGTTTGAACACTTTTGCACATCATTCTTCTTATTGAATTCAACATGCTTCTTTAAAAAATTACTGACATAACTATTTGCAATATAAGGATCTTTTTATGGGAAGTTGTAGGTATTATACCTCTGCAGCTTCAACTGAAGTCACTGATAGCTGTAAGCACTCCTCTGAGAAGAATGTAAGTGCTCAGTACAGCTAAGTATACAGGATGTGATCATAATTCAGAACTTAATGAAAACAATCACGATTTCAATCAATTCTTTCAGCACAGATGATGGAGTTTTACACTGCTGTTACAAATATGTAGAATTAAACAAATGGGATTTTTTTTTAATAGCATACTAAAGAAGAGAGCAAAAAATACCACAGTAGAGTGCATACAATGTTCCACGTCTTGTATTTCATATTATATTGCTAGATGTCATCAAGGATAAATAGTTTAGTAAGCAGTTTGCTTCAGCAGGACAAGAATTTAAAACACTGGGAAAAAACACCTAGTTAAAAGCATTAAGGAAAGCTAGAACTTAATGCCATGTTTGCACAGTAGAAGCTTGTAATGTCTGCCATACACTAGGCCTGCTA